TTATCATTATTAATCATAGTAAAGAAACAGATGACACCATCCAAATGTGGAATGAGTAATGGTAATATATTTGCCATGTCTTCCCCCCTGAAGTATACTTTTATGTGCTTCAGTGGGGGCCAGTTAGCCGCTCACCAAGCCAAAAATGATCTATATGTGGAATGAAGGAATGAGTACATGTAGATATGTGATCCAAAGGACCCAGTCCATGTGCTCACAGAGGCATTATCTGTGCATTCTCCCACCCACCCTTTTTGTAAGGTAAAGGATGGTATGAGTGGGTTCAGAGGAGGGAAACAAGGACGGTCAGGGATCTGGGAGGGAATTCCCATAGGAATGGTTGAAGGGACTCGTTATGTTTAACTTGGAAAAAAGAAAGTTGAGGGGACCCTTATAAGACCTCTTCAAATACAAGGGCTATCACACCGGAGGAGGCAGATAATTGTTCTCCACCAGGGGTCATTCCGTAGAAAAAGAGGTGCAGGAGCTAATTAGCATAACTCATTAGCATAGCTCATTAGCATATGCCACACCCCCTGACATCACCGGAAGTGTGTCAGAAGGCAACACCCACCGCTCAGGCTCCACTGGACTGTTTTGGATTGCTAGCTATTGGGGGGGGGGGACACATGCAGATCTGTCCTCGCAGAGGAGAGAGAGCTTGTACCTGAATATCTAGGTCATATTGGGGTGTTGTGTACCTGCTTTTCTGTCACACAGAGAGGAACCTCCTCTGGCTTAGTAGTCTTGGCTTTTTCCACAGTCTTGAGAATCTCAAATTTCATTTGTTTAAATAAAAGTTTCCATCCCTCTTGGTTTCTGCACCAAAAACCCATTTGAGATTGTGACAATATGAACTCACAGATGAAGGTGTATTAGAAGCAGATTTATTTTATTTTCAGCTCTCATTTACTTTTAGGTTCATGTTATGATTTGAGGGGTTCTACTGGGATTCTAGGAGCTGCGGTGGCTCAAGTGGTTAAGATGCTGAACTGCAGGCTGTAGAAGGTCAGTAGTTCAGCAGTTCAAGACTCGGGTGCCGCAAGACGGGGTGAGCTCCTGTCTCTAGTTCCAGCTCCTGCCAACTTAGCAGTTCGAAAGCAAGAAATTGCAAGTAGATAAATAGGTACCACTTCGGTGGGAAGGGAACAGAGTTCCGTGCGCCTTGGTGTTTAGTCATGCTGGCCACATGACCACGGAAACGTCTTCGGACAGCGCTGGCTCTTCGGCTTCGAAACGGAGATGAGCACCGCAACCCTAGAGTCGCATTCGACTGGCTTTCGAGCAAGGGAACCTTTACCTTTTACTGGGATTCTAAACATTTTACATTAGCACTGCCAGAGTTCTGAAAATCTCAGCTGGAGTGTGCTAGCAAAGTGTAGCTTGTGTAGATTTGCTATTGTTGATGTCTGGCAAAGTGCTCATCTGTCTTCAAGAAGGAAGTTTGAACAAACAAGAATTTGCCGATATTTTCCCTTGCTTGTGTCTGCTGAGGATTCTTAGTTGCTGTACCTGAAACATACAATCTGCATTTTTCAGTGGACTGTAAACCTGATGCCATTTGTTTCTGATAGTACAAGTGAACATGGTTGCTTCATCTGCTCTCAGAGAATCAGTTGCTCCTATCTAAGTGCTCCCATCATCTAGGTCCCATCCTAGGTGGGATTGTTGTTATGGGAGGTTGTGCCTTAGCACCCACAAAGAAAGGACTCATTTGTTGCTTGTGATTGCCATTTTCCAGTGCAATTACGGTTGTCAGCAGGCCTGGTGGGAAATATTTTGTCCCTTTAATAGAGGCTGAATGTATGGACTTGGGCAGCTGAAACTTTTCATGGCATAAATATCACCAGTCAACTAAAACCCCATTACGGCTTTATTAAAAGGATGGAGCACTTTTGTCTCAAGCACAGTTGGGTATTTGAGGTCAATATTTGCTTGAAAGGAACTATGTGTAATTCAGCCTTTCCTCTGACCGATGGAAGTCTGCACTTGTCTGGATTCAAATATTTCTCACGATTCAATTTTGCTGTTTTATTTAAAAAATTGAAACTGAGTATTTCAGTGGTCAAATAAATTTTTAACTGGACAACTAGTCCCTGCACAGTGGCCAGGTTTGCATAAACCAGTATTTCTGATTAACCAGCATCTCCAGTTAAAAGATCTGGCAGTAGGTGATGTGAAAGAGCTTTGCCTGAGACCCTGGAGAGCCACTGCCAGTCTGAGTAGACAATACCGAATTTGATGCCAAGGGTCTCATTCAGTGTAAGGCAGTTTCATGTTCTTATGTGCACTTTACATGCATTGTTCTGTGTAACTCTTTTGCTGTTCATATGCTGGATTGATTTAAGTCATATTCTTGCTGTGTCATAAGAATCAGACAGTAGAGGCTTCTTTGCTCAACTGTACAATATTTATTAACTACAATACTTTATTTTATTTTATGCGATTTCTATCCTCCCCCCCGAAAGCGGGCTCAGGGCGGGTAACAACCATGAATAAAACAGTAGATATAAAAACATTACAAGACCCATTTAAAATCCAATACCGATTTAAATACTAAAACATTTTGAACATGATAATAATCTTCATATGCCCAAAGTGCACACTGTGCAAGTGCCAGGGGGCACTAATTTAAATAGGTGGGCCAAATCACCGTCTGCAACACAGAAATGCCATAATGCAAGGCATGGGCAAGTCTGAGCAGGGGAGGCCGATATAATTGGACACCTGCCGCCTCAACCGAGGGCCTGGTGGAACAGCTCCCTTTTGCAGGCCCTGCGGAATTGCAGTAAATCCTGCGGGGCCCTGACCTCAAGTGGGAGCATGTTCCACAAGGCCAGGACCAGAGCTGGAAAGGTTCTGGCCCTGGTCAAGGTTAGGCAGATGTCTTTTGAGCTGGGGATTACCAGAAGATGATGTAAAGCTCTTTGGGGGACGTATGGGGAGAGGTGGTTCCACAGATATATTAGTCCCTGACCGCTTAGGGCCTTAAAGAGTAATACCATAACCTTGAACCTGATCTGGTACTCAACTGGTAGCCAATGCAGCTGGCGAAGCACTGGCTAAATGTGCACCCATAAAGGCATCAAAGTCAGAAGGCATGCCACTCCATTTTATATCCACAAGTTTCCAGGTCAGATTCAAGGGCAGCCAGGAGTACAGCAAGTTACAATAGGCTTGGCTGGAAGTGACCATCGCATGGATCACTGTAGCCAAGTCGCAGGAAGAGAGATTGGGAACCGGTTGCCTGACCAGCCGAGGATGGTAAAAAGCTGACCTGGCCACGGGCATGACCTGGGCCTCCTTGGAAATTGAGGGACCCAGAGACACTCCTAGGCTCCTTACCATTGGCGCTGGTGTTAGTATCGCCCCACCAGGGTTTGGGAGCTGAACTCCTGATCCTATCTCCCCGCTATTCAGGTACAGGACCTCTGTCTTAGACTTATTCGATATCAGCCGACTCTGCTGTAACCAACCAGCCAACCAGTGGGTCATAAGATTGTAATTGACCATGTCATACTTGCTGTTAAGTCAAGCAACACCAGCAGCGGTGACTCGGCTCGATCCAGGTGCCTCCGGAGGGCATCTGTGAGGGTGACTAATGCTGTCTCCGTTCCATAGCCAGGGCAGAAGCCAGATTGGAATGGATCCAGGATGTTGGAATCATCCAGGAAACCCTGAAGCTGTTCAGCTACCATGCTCTCAACTACCTTAGCCAAGAACAGAAGGTTCTACACTGGGCAGTAATTGTCTAGGACCAAAGAGTCCAGAGATGGCTTTTTCAAGAGCAGTCTCACCACTGCCTCCTGTAAAGTCCCTGGGAAAATCCCTGAAGTCAGGGATAAATTGATAATCTCTCCCAGGGGAACCCGTATTCGTCTCCACTGGCCTTTACCAGCCCTGACAGGCATGGGGTCAGGAGACAAGTGGTGGGCTTCACAGCTGTCAAGACCCTGTCAACCTCATCCTGGGAGAGTCAACTGGACTGGTCCAATATTGGGCCAGAAGATGGCCAAAGGGACTCCAGTTCATGTATTGTCTCAACCGTGGCTGGCAAGTCCTGGCAGAGCGTCAAGACTTTGTCTGAGAAATACCTTGCAAAGGCCTCACCGCTAATATCCAATTCTCTAACATTTTGGGTTCCCTGAGGAAGGGAAGTTAATGATCTAATTATTCTAAATAATTGTGCTGAGCGAGAGCTTGCAGACGCAATGGAGAACGCATACTACTTATGAACTTGGAATGTGTAAATAAAACTTATCTGTGTCCTGATTAAGGGCCTAGGTCTTCTTGACTGAGTCCATTTGTTGTGGCAAAAATGGAAAAGTAGTCTGTGTCTTTTGAGTTGTACAAAAACAGAAAAGTAGTCTGTGTCTTTTGAAATTGCACCAATAGATATCTGGACAAATCTGTTTATTTTTCTTTACTTGTGTTTTTCATACCACAAACGGGTATATGTCTGCATGTGTTTTTTATGTGATGCTGGGTACAGATTGCATGCATGCACAAAGAACCCTCAACTGTGCTTTGTGGTGGCGTATTGTCTATGCTAGGTATTATGTGAAGATGCATGTGGACAAGACATGCACAATAAAGCATGACATAGAATAAAACGACTGTGAAATTCGTCATTATAAGTACTCATCTGAATCCATCCTTAAAAAGGGGCTAAAGTGAGGAAGAAGCAGTAGTATAGTAGTATGGAGTTCTCTTTAAAGAAGACTAGTGCTATAGTGCTTGCATTGTTAGCTTGTGTAGCAGTGGGTGCCTCTCTGCTCGAGGAGTGTGTTTCACAGTGCATGGCTACTTGCACGAAGGGATTCAGAAGAACTGAAACCTGAGGACGTTCCAATACTGAATACCTTGACAATGGGTACGGTGTTTAAATGTATATGCAAAGAACTACAGCAGCTCGTGCTTCAACACGGGTGCCTAGAATTTCAGCATCAGCATCAGCTGAGATTTGTCATCTGACAAGAGCTCCCCATTCTCCATTCCAGGTAGCCGAGAGACCGCATTCACCTACGCCGTCAGTGCTGCAGGGGTGGTGAACGCTATCAGCCGGGCCTGCCGCGAAGGGGAACTCTCCACCTGTGGCTGCAGCCGGACAGCCCGACCGAAGGACTTGCCTAGAGACTGGCTATGGGGTGGCTGTGGGGACAATGTGGAATATGGCTACCGATTTGCCAAGGAGTTTGTGGACGCGAGGGAGAGGGAGAGGAACTATGCCAAAGGATCGGAGGAGCAGGCCCGCACGCTGATGAACCTACAGAACAACGAGGCGGGACGCAGGGTAAGATCGCTGGTAATCCCTCCTGTCCCTTTCCTTTCGGAAGAGACACGTTTCAATAGTAACAGCTGTGCTGCGTCAAGAAAGAAGCCAGTTAGGCACAATAATTTATTTGAACCTAAATTATATTAATAGATAGGGTTGCCAACTCTGAGTTGGGGAATTCCTGGAAATTTGGGGATGGATCCTCGGGGGGGGGGTGTTAAACTTTGGGAAGGCGAAGGAGCTCAGCAGGGATGTGATGTCACTCTAGGACTTCCATTTCTCCTAAACACAACACCATAGAAAAGAGCAAGAGTCCACTAGCGCCTTAAAGAGTCTGATCAGACGAATCTAAAGGTAATGTCCAGACACAAACATCTGGGAAATGTCCCTCTTCCATGGACGTGCTGTCACGTCTATGCGCATGCACAAAAAGTTTTTTTAAAAAACCTTCAACAAGGACGCACTGTGACGCCTATGCGCATGCGCAAAAAAGTTTTTTAAAAAAAGAACCCACTGCGCATGCGTCCTTCAGTGGACGCCATCTAGACAATCCACAATGGAGGCAGTGCACGGTAAGGCGATTCACCAGGGGGATGTCTGGTCGTGCTACGATGGATTAAAAAGATTGGGATAAAATTCAAGATGGCATAATGGCGGGATTAGCTGCCCGTCTGAGCTCACCCAAAGACTAATAAAATATGTGGCAGATTATGAGCTTTCGTGAGTCACTGCTCACTTCTTCTGATAAACTGCCATTTTCTCCTGGAGAACTGGTCTCTGTAGTCTAGAGATAATTTGTAATTCTGGGAGATGTCCAGGCCCCACCTGGAAGCACACAATGTAAGCACCCAAATCTGATTTATTTCAGTGGGATTAAAACATACCAGCATTTGTCCAGATGGTGTATATTAAACCTTTTCTTGTTACCAAAGGATCATTCCCATCAATCATGCCAGGATATCCCTGGAAATCTCATATGGGGATGTATTATGCTTATAGGTTGCTCTCCCATGCTTGTTTTTTGGGGACAAGAATATCTGTGCCTTTAGTATTTGTATGGTATGCAGATATTCAACGAGCAAAGTGTTTTCTTGTCATGGAGATGGTAGTCACCCGCAGAATTTTTGTCTGATATGCCACAGTTAATAAATGAATACATTTAAGACAGTAGAAAGGAGCAAGAGTCCAGTACCACCTTAAAGACTAACAAAATATGTGTCAGGGTATGAGCTTTCATGAGTCACTGCTTACTTATTCAGATACAGCTAGAATTGGAGTCCACCTGCCCTATTTGTTGGAAAGTGGAGAGATTTCAGACGCGGAATGACATTAGCCAGCAAATGACAATAGCAGGTGAATGACAATAGCAGGTGTGATTGGATTTAGGTGAGATATGCAAAGGGGTAATAGGCGTGGAGAAATCAGCATTGGTAATGAGACAGGAAACCTAGGTCTTGATTCAGTCCAGGTGGATACATTGTTTTGAGCTTCATTATCAATTGCAATTCAGCAGTCTCTCAATTGCAATTGATAACGAAGCTCAAGACAGTGGATCCACCTGGACTGAATCAGACCTAGGTTTCTTGTCTCATTACCAATGCTGATTTCTCTATCCCTGTTACCCCTCCAAATTTCTCATCTAAATCCAATCATGCCTGCTATTGTCATTTGCCTGCTAATGTCATTCGGCATCTGAAATCCTTCCACTTTCCAACAAATAGGACAGATGGACTCCCATTCTAGCTATATCTGAAGAAGTGAGCAGTGACTCATGAAAGCTCATATCCTGCTACATATTTTGTTTGTCTTTAAGGTGCTGCTCTTGCTTTTTCTACTGCTACAGACAGACTAACACAGCTACCCATCTTGATCTATCTGCATTTAAGACACTTAACACCTTCTAGCGAATGAGGTGCGTTTAGATGAATGCACGTGCTCATTGCTCATTTTTGCTAAATGGGCTTTATTTTTTTGCTTTGAGATGAGACTAATGGCAAGAGAATATGAAGAAAATATTCATAGGTTATTTTGCACATTTTTTTTTCATGCACTAATAACACATCTAGGACTCAGATGCTGTGTGCGTTCTAGACATCTTTTCCCAAGGGAACATTTAGTGTTTAATCTGCATTTTAGTTTTTAAAAATTCTCAGAGCTCCTGCTTCTCCCAGCTAGCACATTAATTACAGCAGAAAGTGCTGTGTGATTTGTGGTTGCTCAAAATGTCATGTCATTAATTAATTATCATATGGCATTGTGTGTAGAATAGCCAGGAAATCCTAAGATTTCCTGCCACGAGTTCTAGCTTGTTTAGTGTTATGCACTGCTAGGTGGCAAGCTAGACTTGTTTTTAAGGTAAGAAATGTTTCAGAGGTAGTGACCCATTGCCCGTCTCTGCGTCACAACCCTGGTATTCCTTGGAGGTCGCCCTTCCAAGCACTAGCCCTGCTTAGGTTCCAAGATTTGAGGGTATAGGGCTAGCCTGGGCTATTCAGGTCATGTAAAAATACAGAACTGCCTTACTCTGAGAACAGACCATTGGTCCACCTAGCCTAGGGCTTCCTACCCTGCTCGGCAGCAACTCGGCAAAGTCAGCCTGGACTTATATGATAATGTGTGGCTCACAGACCAGAAATAAGACCAGCTAGAAAAAGCTGCAGATAGGTGGGTGGTGGCTTTCCCTGCCAGTTCTGCCTTGCAAATGACACCACCCCTCCCTACAGCTGCTGTAACCTGGCAAGTATGTGTTTGGGAAATGTGTGTGCTGTTATTGTTCAGTCGCCCATGGACCAGATCTCGCCAGGCCTTCCTATCTTCTGCCGTCCTCTGAAGTTTGCTCAATTTCATGTTCGTTGCATCTATGACTCTGTCTAACCATCTCATCCTTTGCTGTCCCCGTCTTCTTTGACCTTCAGTCTTTCCCAGCATCAGGGCCTTCTCCAGTGAGTGCTCCCTTCTCATTTGGTGGCCAAAGTATTTGAGCTTCAGTTTCATCATCTGGCCTTCCAGGGAACAGTCAGGGTTGATTTCTTTTAGGATTGACTGATTTGATCTTCTTGCAGTCCAAGGGACTCTCAAGAGTCTTCTCCAGCACCATAGTTCAAGAGAATCAATTCTTCAGCACTCGGACTTCCTTATAGTCCAACTCTCGCAGCCATACATAACTACTGGGAATACCATTGCTTTGACCATGCGGACTTTTGTTGGCAGGGTGATGTCTCTACTTTTTATCATGCTGTTTAGGTTTGCGGGGGGGGGGGGTGCTGAACTCCAGCAGCGAATTTGCTGCTTGGAGTTCAGGCGTGCAGGGCTCCGGTCCCCAATGTGATGATGTCACTTCTGTGTGACGTCATCATGTTGGGGACGTCCCCACTCTCTCCAAGAATGCCCCCCAAAGTTCCCCACCAGTGACGAGGAAGGACCTGGCAACCCTCCTCATACCTGTGCCTTTAAAGAGACATGTATAATTTTAGAAAATGTCATTTCCTCCCTAAGCTTTAGAGGATAAATGTTTTCCTTGCTGTTCCATTCAAACATTGGAGCACTTATTTATTTACTTACTTGTGGAGCTCTTTACAAAAACACCAACAGAGAAGGCTGTTTTTCTCCTCTGTTGCAGTGCCCACCCACAATCTCCTGAACTTTTCACTCTGAACTTTTCTTTGATTACTATGCATACCCACTCCCTGCAGCTCTGGGGTAGGGCTGCCAACCTCCAGGTAGGAACTGGAGATCGCCTGGAATTACGACTGTTCTCCAGATTACAGAGATCAGTTCGCCTGGAGGAAATGGCTGCTTTGGAGGGTGGACTCTACGGCATTCCATCCCACTGAAGCTGCTCCCCAAACCCCGTCCTCCCTGGGCACCCACTCACCCCCCAAATTTCCAGGAATTTTCCAATGCAGAGTTAGCAACTCTACTCTGGAATGCAGCGGGGGATGGAGGTGAATTTACCAGGAGCGGGAAGACAAGAAGCTGGAAATAAATGCGACATGCTTGTATCACCCAGAAGTGACATAGGCACGTCGGGGGGGACACTCTGGTTTGTGAGCTATACCTCTATGGTAGAATTAGCTTCTACCACAGAGTATTACCCAAAAACCAGAGCGTCCCTCCCCCCATCACCAACATGCCTGTGTCACTTCCAGGTGACATAAGCACATCACATTTATTTCCGACTTTTTTCCTGTTTGTCTGGCCGTGGAGAGGAGCGCCTGTAACCAGGGGAACCTCGCCCCCGCTGGGGGACCTGGCATCCCTAACTGCGTATCTTCTGCAGTTTTTTTTTAATGGCAGTCTTCTCCAGCCGTGCAACATCTCCTGCAGTATGGCTACCAGTCCTCTTTTATAGGGATAGGACTTGGTGCTGCTGACACTGGGTGGGGTGTTTCACAGTGAATTAATCTATTTCAAAAAGCCCTTCCTTCCTGACTCTTGATAATGGCAGTAGGGTTAACAACTGACCTGGGGGGAGGGGGAATGTCTGTGTGCACACATGCCATCAAGTCATAGCTGACTTTTGGCATCCCCGTAGGGTTTTCAAGGCAAGAGACAGTCAGAGATGGTTTGCCAGTGCCTGCCTCCGCATCACAACCCTGGTATTCCTTGGAGGTCTCCCATTCAAATACTAGACAGGGCTGACCCTGCTTAGCCTCCAAGATTTGACAGGATCGGGCTATCCAGAGAAGTTATTTACCAGGTGATGTTATTTAACTCCATGCCATGAAAGCCTTAGGCTCTCCTTTTGTGCATGTTAAGTCTCTATTAAAGGGGCAGGACGTTTTTCTCCAGGCTTAACTTTTATTAAAAATGCAGTATATTTCATAATGTATGAAGCATATATTAACTTTTTAAAAACCTTAGTAATGCAGCAGAAATATTGTGAGTGGTGACGTGGTTTGCCTTGGTTCCTTACAGTATCTTTTTGAGATAGTCACACTTTGGGAAGAGATGGAAAACTGGCCTCACATTATTAGGCAGAAAAGTATGAAACGTCTGAGCCTCGGTAATGTTATTGC